GACAGATGACCAATAACAGCGACTTAATTGAGCAGTCAGGTCAATAACCAGAGTTTAATATCATCAACTGACCTGATACAACACACCTTGACTCTGAAGATGACTACTGCACAGGTGATTGAAACGTCAGTCACTGTCACTAACAACAGTCCTATTCAGGAAAACGTTCTCCCGGACGATCATACTCAACCTACTTATGAAAGTATTAAAACTTGCACAAAAACAGCCGCACGCCGCCATATTTGTTTTCTGTATCCTGTGCGTACAAATTGGAGTGGGATGCATGTGCACAATGGACTTCCCTTTGAGAAAACTTGTACAAGCTACCTTAATTCCAATAATTTCATGTTTTTAGAGCCTTATAGAAACACCAATAAGTGAAGTTTAGGATTTGTTGTTAACTTTTAGTTGACCACTACTTTTCTTTCAGATGATGATCTTGAAAGTGGGTATCTAAGTCCTGGGAGTGATTCATCAAGATCGCAGACACACAGGCTGCACAACAATTTTATGATGCTAGAAAACAAGGTTGGAGTTTTTTGTTTGAGATGTCAAACCTCTGTTTGGGCTAAAGCAGTTCTAATTAACTCAGAAACTGTATAATTTTTTCTTATAATTTATTAGGCATTAGATTTGGCACACGTGAAGTTTGACCTCTGAAACATGCTGTAGCTTCTGTTATAACAGCAGTAAAGAATTATGTCTTTATGGCAGCCAGTCATTAGTGTTAATCTCAGAGAGGTGTCCCTGTTTAATTTTTTTACAGTACTACTCAGCCATTCTTTATGTTTCATGAATAGTGCTATGCGACTCTTGCCATGCGGCAAAGAATCACATACATGTAGCTACAGGTTGCAGTTCTTAAATTTAATTTTTTTGTGTTAGTCACCAAAAAGCTTTCACAATGGATTCTTCAAATGGTGCAAGAACTTAAGCCATGACACTTGCAGTTTTTATGGCATTAAGCCCAACGAGAATTGCATTCTGCATTGCAGGAATTGTGTAGCATGCAACGAGAATTGCACAGTACATGTTGTGATTTGCGTCTTGCAAGAGAGAGGGTGTTAAGTTACTTGAGTGTCCTTTAGAGAGAGCTTCTTGACTATAGGATTTCTCTTTTACTCTAACTGACGTTTGTCAGCATTTCAGTCACGTACAATATGCATAGGTACATTATTCTCAACACCTTTCTTTATATATTTTCTTGTGTCTCTAATACTGACAAGAATTTGTTTTAAATTTATCTTTTGTCATCATTTCCTTTACTGTACAGTATGCAGGTTTACCAATTTGCTATCAATTTTGCAAAATCACCTTTTGAAGCTAGCTGAGCTTATTTCCTGGTCACTGTGTGTGGCTATAATTAACCAAAATACGGTTAAGAAGTCAATTCATTGCCTTCTGTACCATATTTATGCAAAATATCATCTTTCAAAGTTCAGGCATGTGCAGAAAGCAAATTTGAGATAGTTTGTGGGTTTAATAGTGACACAGAAGACTCAACTTTTACTTTCCACTTTTCCCCCCTCTTCTTTCTCTTTTTTTCTTTTGCTGGGCATTAACTAGGCTTCATTTCAGTGGGAGAAGTTTTTGGCAACTTTAGCTTTTATTAGGATCCTAGGATTAGCTTTATTTATATAGATGAAAGACATTGTAGGTGGATAGTGGAACCAGATTTTCATCAGAATCATTCGGGTCAATTTATGATGGTTTTTAGCCCTTTCTCCAGCCTCCTTGACTAAATCATGCTTGTTTTAGCGAGTTTTGAAAGAATCTCTTCCCCCTTTACAAGTCAAGTTGAATGACAAAGTAACCTTGTCCTTGATGATCAAAACTGATGATGCCATGTGTGATGGAAGTGAAGTGGGAAGTAGATCTGCACAGGCAGTTAAGGGTAATTCAGGTGGGGAATGGCTTAAGAGCTGGCACATTCATGCGCACTTCAGCTCGTAACTGCCCATGCACAGCCACATTATTCTTTCCTGTACCACTTGTGATCCATCAGTCAGTTTTAATAGCCATAAACAACTTGGATGCCCCTTCTGGCTTGTGCAAAGGGAAGAGATCAAGTGCTATTCAGTCAAACATACATGTAGTAGGGAAAATGCAGAAAATCTTTTCCACTACCCTGAGTGGTAAATCCTTAAAAAACATTCCTGCTCACCATTGTCCTTGATGCCCAGCAAAGAAAAAAAAGGGAAAAATCTCTGGTGACAAGTGGGTCAAAGTAAATGGAGCATTAATTTTTCTCTTTGAGGAACCAATGAGGTGATGTCACTGGTACAATAATTGTACCAGTGACATCACCACAAAATCCCTGTTACAATAATTTTATTGTAACAGGGATTTTGTATGTTAACAATAATATTTTGAACTTGAAAATTGGCCATGAGTGATGCATTTCATTTCTCCAATGTTTGTATGACTCATTCATGACCAATCTCTTGTTTGTCATGTGATTTGTACAAAGTCGATCATTATCTTTTAATCTTCTCAAACATTATTTTGAGCTGTTTAGTTTGACGGAGCTCTCGGTTTCAAGTTGTTAGCACCTACAGTAGTTTGTGGTTTTAACATCCGCTTTCCATATCATTTCTTTGCATGCATGTGAGAATTAAAAGGGTAGAATTTTACTATTACAGGTAGTGAAATTGAAGAGAATCGCATGGCTTTTCATTTACATGAAAACTATTGGATGTTAATGTAAACAATTATTACTTATTGCAGTCAAATACAGTGCGCATCAAATTTGAATTTCGAGGAGAGAAAAGGTGAGGATGCATTAGGATCAATTCTATTTGTTTATTTTTTCAGTCATGTGAATGTTTGAAAATGTGAACTCTTCTAGGTGCCAAGGGCAGGGGTTTTCCCAGCACTTTGAGTCCTGGTGCTTTTTTGTGGGGACTTTTATAATAATAATAATTAATTATGTAATCTGGCCAGTCTGTTGTGTGTGTGTGTGTGTGTGTGTTTGTTTGTTTGTCTTTGGAAAATATTATTTTTAGCAAGTACACCATTATTCTTCATCAAGTTGTTTAATTTGTTGCTTCACTGCCGGCACAGTCTGTTCCATTGTTTTGTTGTGGTGCCTTTTTTTGTCAGTGTGGTCTATTTTGTTTTGTTTTGTTTTTTTGTTTTTTCCTGTTTCCTTTTCTCAGTGTTGTCAACTCTTGCATATTCTATCAGTAATAATAATATCAATAAAATTATAGTGATAAATCATAATTTTTTATCAGTATTTTTTTTACCAGCTTATTTTTTATCTGTATTTCCTACACTGTAGGTTTATCTAATGGTTGCCCTGTCAGCATTGCAAAATTCATTATTTCTGTTGGCAATTAATACTTGCAGCATACATGTGTAGCTGGATGATTAATTTTGTCCACTGCTTGCCTGCTGTCTTTGAGCTTAAGGACAGTAAACAATTCTACATGTAACTGGCAGATGCAATGGCTTTAATTATCCATAAGCTACAAAAATGAATCCAGCATTAATCTTGTTACCATGAGTTTGATGTGATTTAAATAACTATAATTGATATCAATTTCCATTAATAAATTGGTACACTGTTTAAGGTAATTTATTGTCTTTCTAATTTCCTTAGGATAATCCCAATTCCAAGGCCTGTTATTTTGTCAGAGCTGCTTGTAAAGGTGAAGACGGCTTATGGACAGGAGTTGACTATGAACTATGTTGGAAATGAGGTACAAACTGTACATGTTACTCATAGTAAATTTTATAAAATAATTATGGCATGTATGCTCCGGTAGTTTTTGGAAAGTAATTGTGACAAACAATGTGTAGCAATTGCAGAACAGGTGATGAACAACTACATGATGGGTTACCTTAAAATTCCGAAAATGAGCCCCTCCATGTATGAGCCCCTCCAAATATAAGCCCCCCAAACTCGTAACGCAAAAAAGCCTCCGTGAAATTGCCCCTCCAAATATAAGCCCCCCTGGGGCTTGTACTTGGAAATTGCCCTCAAATACAAAGTAAAACAAAGCAAAAACGGTAAATTTCCTTCCAGCTATAAGACCAGCCCAATCAATTTTGAAGTGCAAATTTCCTTCCATAGATAAGCCCCTCCAAATATAAGCCCCTCCAAAAATAAGCCCCTCAAAAAGGGCCTTTGAAAAATATAAGCCTTGGGGCTAATATTTTCAGAATTTTACGGTATTCTCATTGATCTCAAATGGCTGCAATCAGTCGAATTTTTTAAACACAGTATTGTATTACATATACATTATTGTAAGTGACATCATTAATTTTATGATACCGATAAGCGCTTTGTCTATTTATACAATTAGATCAAGTTTTGGTTAATGTAAAGTGGGATGCTTATAGTGGCCTACGGCGCTGTTCACCTTTCAGGCTTTAATAAATTGAAGAAGCACTGCTTCAAACTTTGAACACTATTTAAATTCCACTTGTAGTGTTGTAGTTGAATATTCCTAATTAGTCATATTCTTAGGGAGCACACAGTTTTATTTTTTTTGCAAATGATATGTACATTTTGTGGTGTATTGGGTGCAGGACGAGTACCAGAACGAGTAGTGGGCATGCAGTGAGGTTTTTTTGCTTATTAACTGTTGCCTTTCAATGTTCTCATGTATTCATCATCACCGTAACTATTGCTGAATCTCTTAATGCTTGTTTTTGCACCTGGGATAACCTGAGAAAAAAGCCGACATTTCACGATAACACTGTGGTTTCCCCACAAAGTGACATCTGAGAAACAAGTGCAGAAATTCCCTACTGATGATGTGCCACTACCCAGATCTCAGTATTGAGTGCCTCTGATTGGTTGGAAATATGTGTCATTCATTATTGTAATCAAATTGCAGTCTCAGTAATTATGATGTCGCAACTGTTTCAAGTTAACAAAAGCTGCAACATCAAAAGGCAAAAATGGGTGACAAATTTTGTCCACTGTAGTGTAAGTTGTTATTATTGGGAGGACTGGGTTATTAATAATACATCATGTGTTTCTTTTACAGATTGCAAATGCAATTCCTATTTTAAGCCAGGCAGACCTTGATCAGGCCATTGAGATTTTGGACAGAAGCCAACACCTCACAAGTTTAAGAATACTCTTGTCTTTACCCAATGGTGTCACCGAGAATGCTGGACACCACAGCATGAAAGCAAATTCCTCAATGTTGCCTCCCAGTAATCCAAAGGTTGGGTCTTTCTTTGGAATTGCCAGCAAGCCATTTTATGTAAGTGATTGGATTTTGATTTCATACAGTGTTCTCACCAGGCAGTGGCCCTGTGGGATTCCCACAAGAAAATCTGAGATGGTGCATAAAGAAGAAGAAGGTGCACCCTCTTGGGCGCAGGGGCATGCTACGAGTCAAATAGACTTTAGAACATCTACAGTTAAGTAGTTTTAATGGTGAACCTAACACCCCAGCATTTGGCTTGGTCGTATGCATAAAAAAACATGATATCAAAACATTCAAAGTCTTAAAATTTGTTTCCCTAACTTTCATTGGTCCCAGATTGGTGCATGCATCGTTATCGAATCACAAACACCCCGTCTGCCATATTGGATCAGGTAGATTCTTCACGTAACAGATAGGCTTTTGTACATTATGCTAGCATTTTTTCGAGTATTTTAGTGAGGCAAAAGCATGGAGCATTATTCGAGCATTTTAGTGGCATTTTCCCCGGAAAATTAATTTTCCCGAGAAAATAAAATAGAAATTAACTTTTTTCAGGAACCCATGCCCCATGAGCTCCTGCTTTTTTAAACAAAATGAAGACTAAAATTCAAAATTCACAAAAAACCTAATACAGTTGGTTTTTTGGCTGTATTTATGAACTTGTACACGTTGTCGTCGTTACTCGCAACACTTGCACGTTTTTGTAAGTGTAAACTTTGAAATTAATTAAAAAACCGTTTGTATAATGAGCATTATCCGAGCATTTTAGTGACTTTTTTGGGGAGACCGAGCATTTTAGTGGGAAAAATGGAGCA